CCTTTAATTGTAAAGAGAACAATCTGAGACCTGCTGCTGTTGGAGTGCATTTAAAGCAGGGAAAGACAGTGAAGCACTGGTGCTTGCAAGAAAGCAGCTGCTGCTATGCTCTGTGGGGGAAGCAGTCATAGTTGGGGTGCAGAACTTGGCATAATTGGTGAACAAACGCAGTTGTGTTTAAATCAAACACACTCTACATTCAACATGCAACACATTTTGGGTCTGATGCGTGTAAAAATAAATAAATAAGCTACACTATTTGGAATCTCATTATATAATTTTCCCTGGCATCTCCTTCCCATATGAGGGTCTTCAACTGCCTTGAAAACACTGAGTTACACTACAGCCCTAGTCTACCTGCATTTACACCCATTTAAATAGATGGAGGTAAACCCAAAGGCAAAGTAACAGTATAACTTGTTCAGGATCATTTAGGAAGCCTGTAGCACAATTGGGAAGAAAGGCTAAGAATTTTCATTCTTGAACAACTCATTGGCACTCTCCTTAAGAACAAAACTTTTACCTTAAAAGACCTTGTTTTGCCTTGCTAGTGTATTGTGTGCAGTCTGTGAAAAGGAAGGCTGTTGCTCTGCTAAAGTTGGTGCAGATGAGGAGTGGAAAACTGCTAGAGAGCAGGAAAGAGACTCCAGGTTGATGCAGAAGAAAATCATTTTGCTAAAGCAGTGATCCTGAACCAAGGCGTCATGAGACCCTATTAGGGGGCATGTGGGGTACAGCTCAATATTAGCACTGTTAGATGTGCAAGCACATGACACCTACACATGATTCACAAGATGAACCCAGATTTCAAATAGGAATCCATAGCGTTAAAAGAATTCTGGAATCAGTTGGGGCTTTTCTGAGTTCTTTGCAACAGTAGAATTCCTCCATTAGTTTTAGTTTTCTGTAGTCAAAAAATGAGTTCAAGTGAAGAGCTAACATTTTTTGAGGGGCACTTTAAAACCAAGTGTGGTTGAGTGGGTAGCATGCTGGGCTGGGTATCAAGATACTGCGGTTCTTTTTTCAATCTTGCCACTAATCTGCTGTGTGACCCTGGGCAGTGCACCCCACTCGGGGGGCGGGGAGGAGGGGGACAACATAATGAAGCCTTGATTTTTGCTGGGGTTGTTGGGCACTGCTGTAGTAACTAAATGCAAGAAACTTGTTCAGGGCTAATTTACGTCCAGACTAATAAACATGAAGACTAGAAACTGTTAGAGACTTAAAGGAAGAGAAGAAAAGAACACAAGACTTCTCCATGGACACTGACTTGGGTGAAGAAAGCCATGGTGCTGGAAGATAAATGCCTGTCTTTATAAGGGGATTGAACTTCTATTTAAATATTACATTTGTTACTTCATACATTGGATTTGTTAATAAATACACTTAAAAAAGTTATGTAGACTCATTTTACCAGATGAACAAGTTATATAAATGCATTCAGAGATACCTACAACTTTTAAAATAAAAGGAAGGACGCTTTATAAGTGCACAGTTAACTTAATGGACTTCATCATACAACTTAATCGCCTCAGTGAAGTTCCCTGGCAGATGTTATGCTTAAGACATAATTAACCAGTTAATCATGTCTTTAGTAGTAACCTGGTCACACATTCATGCAATTAATGATGTGATAAAGCAGGGAATAAGCCACACAATTATTATACAAAATGTGTAATAATTTTGTGGCTGGTTCCCATCACACCTTAAATTGAACCTGTGCCCAGGTGCTCCTGCAGCTAGGAGTGCCTATTACCTGATCAGTGCTGCCAACCTCAAGAGGACACTGGAGCCTTCAAGGGCTCTGGTGTGCTCCCAAGGCAGGGACAGTGATCAGCTGGCTGGCGCTTGCAGCCATGGGTGCATGGGAAGCCTGAATTAGAACTTGCCAGTGCAGGCAGAGCCTGGGTTCATGATCCCAGTCTCCCCCCTGCCCTGTCAATAGGGCATGATCCCTGATCTCATAATCATGCCTTCTACCATGCACATGTGGCTTGGCAGGAGACATGATTATTGGAATCAGGATCAGATCTCATTGTGCCTTTAACTGAATGTTTGTCAGTGACCATAGAGAATGTACATGTCCAGCCATGGGTAGATCTAGAATTCTGGAGAAGGGGGTGTAGATGGTGAGTTGCATCATTGCATATAAAATGACACATTTTTCTCTAGTTAAAGAGAAACTAGAAGCTTTACTAATACGGTAGGGGCATAGGGCTATATTATTTGATTTAAGATTGAAGCAACAATAAATATAACTATTGGAATGAATTTAAAAACAATCTGCAAGGCTGTGAAGTAGGAACATCATTACCAGGAGCAGCTAACATTGCAGAAGAAAAGTTAGCTTGATTAGTGGAACATCAAGACGATTAAAAAGAGAGGGTCATTAACACCTGTGGAATGCAGAGTTCAGAAGGGATCAGGCAGATTACAATGAGCCATGAAATCAACTGACTCCCTCAGCACTGCCCGACTAGAAATACTGCTACCACTGCCAGGGAGTTGGTTTTAAACTTTGGATGGACCAGGAATCAGAGTGGAGTGCAAGTGCACCCTCTCCCCCGATGGCCTCTGTATATGGCCATAGTCCTTGTGAACTAAAGGACTGCTGAATCTTTTAGCCATTTGGTTGACTACAAAATTGTCCTCTTATTATTTTTATAGAGTACCACTAAGGAACCAACTTGGAGGATCCCCACCTCCAATGAACTGTACCAATACATGCTAAGAGGATAGTATCTCCCTCTAACTTACAATAGGCAGCCATTATGGTGGCCGTATTAGATTTTTCCCAAAGAAATACAAATAATAAGCAAAACCCTTTAGCTACTTAGGACTTTAAAAAGTTTAATGCGACACAAGCCCAACTCCTTTTTTAGGTCTAGCAATTGGTGTAGCTCAGCTGCACAAATTTTGAATTTCAGTGCATGGAAAAACCTTATTTTCTAGAGTGGAAAAAGTGCTTCTGTCCTTAAGCTGCTTTGAGTTTCTACCAAACTGTTCTCACACTTAAACCAAAAAATCCTACCTTATGCTGACAGTCTATGGGAACTTTACACACACAGTCATTTACCCCACCAGAAATACCCAAATGAAGTGTTGCAAATGCTTAGAAGTCATGAATTGTACCCCCCTCTACAAAAAGTCATATTAGTTTAAAAATCATTAGACTTTTAAACATAAATTTGGGCAGCTCCTTTGAATATTGGTGTCAGAGTCTTTTTAGGGCATGTGTTCAAGCTGTTCTTTGCAACCATGAGGGTACTGTTATCTTTTTCCTTTTTTAACTGAAAGCTAAGATTCTCATAAAATCAAATTACTGCAGCAGCCAGGGCTGAGAGAGAAGATCTTGTAAAACTTCTGAAAAGTATCCTAAGAATTGGCAACTTTTTAACTTTAGTGTTATAAAAAGAAGTTGTCATGTTAATTGTAATGCTTGTGGCAATAACCTTTGTTACTTATTAATTTGTAACAAAGCTGTTTATTCATAAACTTCCATCTCATTCCAAATCTGAAAGTCCTGCTGTAATATTTTTAGAATGTTGATATTATATGAAAGGTTTCACTAAAACTGTCTTGCAATACTCTGCATGAGGTTTCAAGATATTCTATATCTTCTTTAGGGGTTGGAGTCTGCTGTCCTCATGCTAAGAAGCATCTTTGTGACCAGTCCCACTGAAATCAATTAGACTGCTAAAGGGGTAAAGTACTACCGGTGTATACAGTTGAGGGGGACAAATAATTCTTTTAATGCTACAAGTGTTTGGTTGCTTCTGTTTTTTGGATATGGTCTGCGGAATAAGCTGACTTGAGAGAAAAGGGAAGAAGCTAAGTGCACTTGACCAGATGACAACAACAAAGGAGAGAGAATCATTTGGGTATAGGATCTGAACAACCAGTGAAGGAGATCAATTTGGGGTCTACTTTTAGGCTGTTACTCTGGGAAATAATTAGGAGAAAAGGGATTAAATTAACAAATAATCATTTAGACTGGGTATGAAGAGAGGGAAAATGGCCTGACTACAAGACCTATTGCCTTACAAGGGGAATTGTGAAAGCCAGCTGAAACGACACAATGAAACCAATGAGAAGGGAATAGACCAGAGGACTGGATGTTGTTGATGATCTCCATCTCAAATTTCTGTGATTCCATCTAATTGCTTTTACTTGGAGACAGGTGTTGCTTTTGAATTCCATAACTAAATTTGACTTGTTTCCCAGTAGTTTTTGGAGGGGGGCAGTTCTTGACTTTCTTTTTTGCTGCTCTGGATTATACAGATTGGCTGCTTTTGTTTTCCCCTGGAGATCCCATAGCATGGGCAGCTGTAAAAGTGACGTTAACAGTAAAACATTCATAGAGGCTGGGTTTCTGAATGTGCAAAAGCATGGGTTAGTGATGCAGAGCTTTGAGTATCATTAAATTTAAATTAGAATTTTTTTGTGGGGAAGGGAGAAAATTTATTAATGAACTAGGGAGAAAATTCACAGATACTTACTGGTACAGTTCATCATCGTGGCAATTAGCAGTTGCAATCAAGGCTGTTTTCTTCCTTGGACATAAACATCAGCTGGCACTGAATTAAGTTATTCTAGATGGTAATATTCTGTGTTTTATAAGCTGAGATTGGATAGTTCCTTACAAAAATGTCCTGTAAATAGTCTTATGATTTTTTTTTTTTAATTCCCCTTGCTGTATGTCCTGCATTTCACATTGCTTTCCACTGTTAATAATAATTGAAGTTTGCTTCCTCTACATGTATTTACATCAGAGTTCCAATCACAAGAGTTGGACTCATCTAGTCAGGAAGCAGAAACAATACTGTGTAGTTATCTCCCTTACATAACTTAGTTTGTATCGTAAGCCCAAGAGTAAATAATTGCAAAACAGAGCTAAATAAATTCAGAATAAACCTCAATCTATTCTTAGAAACTTTGGTGAACAGATGGTGAAATTTTGTTGAATAAATTTGTTACAAAGGATCATGAACAGATCTAGTTGTAACAAAGCGGGGCGAGCCAGATAGATAATGGAACCTGTATTTAGCTTACATCTTTTCTATTGTTTGCCCTTTAGCTTAGTGAAATTCTCTCTTCCAAGTGTCTTATGTTGCTTGGCTAGTTAGAATCCTCTCCTTCCAATCGACAATAATGGACAGTGCCGGTCTCCTAGTAACCACTGGCCTGCCATATCACTTTCTAAATGCTGTTTCCTTTATAGCCTAGTTGTTTGTTCCTCTGGCTCTTAAAATTGCCATTTAATTCTCCAAATTAACAACTTCTTATGGTTTTGCTTTTATTTTTGTTTGCTTGTGGTGGGAGAAAAGTGTTTAACGTATTTCTTTTTAAAGGAAGCTGAAACCTTGGGGGTGAGGGCAAGGGGTGGGGGATAATCCTTGTTCAGCATGAACTAAGAGAGCTTTTCAAAACACTGAACTTGTCTAAACAAAAACCCCAACGTACCTGATTACAAAAGCTGCCTTAAGTGTCATTTAATTTTAATGCATAACTAACCTACATATGAGTGTTGCTTAGAACTTGGATGGGATAAAGTCTTGTAACCCAACACAATGCTGGGCAGCTGTGAAATCTTCAAGAAGTAAAGGTAGGCTTCTGGAGGTGAGGACAAGTGTGGCCTCTTTAAAAGAATTACTATGTGCATGGGCAGACAAAGTAAGAGCCTGTTCTAACATACATGAAAAGAAAGAGATCTGAGGTTAGGAATGCTAAATTCGTAATTCAAAATGCACCCCCCCTCTGCAGAGAAATAGCAACCCACCTGGCTTTAAAGTTCAGCAGTTCAAGTCCCAGTCTTCATAAAAAAGTAGATCTGTGGCTTTAATATTAGAGTGAGTGAGTGTAGCTGAAGAATCTGAATAGAACAGAGTAGGCATGTTGTAGGGTTGAGAGGGCATGAATTTTGTACCTTATTTATCTACCAAGGGTTTTTTTTTCTTTAACCAGAGAAAAGACATTGCAGAGATGAGTTTTTTTTATTTTAAAAAAACTATTAAAAAAAAAAACCACCTGACTTTCCTTCATAGCACTGGGGAAACTTTATTCTCCATTTCAAGGACAGCATCTTTTTTTTAAAAGTAAAATTTAAATAATACAGTCAGAGCTTTACTTTATACACACACATACACGCGCACGCCCCCTTTTCACCAAAGAAATACAGAAACTACAGAGTATTTTGGGCTAAGAAGAAGAAATGGACCTGAATGCTGAATAGAAGAAGATCGGCTACAGAGAAAATGAGAGAGAGAAATGTACAGGAAGAATGGGGGATACTGACATGACAGAGAGCAGAAGGTACAGGACGCAGATGGGAGGGAGGGAACAGGAGTGATAAGGGGTATAGTTGTGAAATGAAGGGAAGGCATGAATCATATACTGCGTCAGCGTATTTGACAGATTTGACCAGAGTTTCTTTATCTGTAAATCCACAGTTCTGAGATTCAGCAAAATCTCCAGATGCTCAGAGTGGCCGAGAGTCCCTGAAAACCTTGTGGTGAGAAGAGCTGTTATTTCACCTTGACTTGACAACATCAATAACATAATCTAATGTTCCTTTTCCCTTTACTGCGCACTGAGTCGGAGGACCCTCCAACATGTTTGCATTTCTGAGCCCTTAATTTCTGAGTCTCTGGACATACCTGCACCCAAATCTGTATTAGACATGCGAGACCTCATACTCAACTCCGGCTCATACTTCTGTAGAGTATATTGGTTATTAGCCAATGATGTCTTACAGCCATCTTTAATGAACTATTACAAGTCCCCTGCACCTTTTGTCCATTAATATCCTTATCTTCATAGAGATCTCTTGCTCTTGATCTGGGCCACAGTGTTTCTTTTTTGCTTTTCCTTGTCTGTCAACATACTTCTCTTGACCTCTTTACCCAATATCCAGACTTCCGTTTCGTGACAATATGACCTAGATCCAGGCAAGTATTCTTGTACTGAGAAACCTGAATCCCAGTCATGTTCCATGTTCTATTTATCTGTAGCCTAGATCCGGGCCCTGCCCCCATATGTTAGTCTCTAAAGACCATGGATCTGGGTCAGGTTTAGAAATGCCAGTACCCTCAATCTATTACTCCTTTCCCTAACACTCAGGCTTTTAGGGAGAATAGGTACTCTTCTTCCTCCTGTTTGCATCAGAACTCTGGTTTCTAGAGAACCCTGTACTCCAATTCTGCTTGCAAAACATTCCCCACAGTACAACAGTCTCTGGGCCATCCCTGAGATGGAAAAAGTTTATCATCCAGAGGGGTAATAAGGTACATCACTATGGTAGTTATAGTCAGGACACACCTTCTGCACTAGCCTGTAGTCTATGCTGTAAAAGGTGATGTAGATGCAGATGACTTTGAAGGGCTTAGAGCAGACCCAGGAGACATGACTCTGGGTGTGCTCATAGTAGCAAGTTTTGGAGGGGTCATAGGTACAGAGTGTGGTTTTCTTGGCACGATCCACTTTCTCATATTCCACTCGGCAGTTGAAGACCTTGGATTCTTTGGCCTCGATGAAGATCTGCTGCTCAAGGTCAAATTCCACAGCTTTGGTTGGAGGGACAAGGCTGACGGAGATATTTCCCTGCCCAGTGGAGTTGTGCCGGAAGAAGACATTGACTGTGCCATTGCCATGATCAACAACTTTCCCAGTAATCAAGAGGTTTAGCTTCACTGTCTTGATATTGGAATAAAAATCCCCCCAGCCAAAAATTTTCTTAAACTTGCCTGTATTTGTTACAGAGTCCCTGCGTCCTCTAGCACGTGGATCCTGGTCTAGCTCAGATGCATTGTCCAGCATTTCCCAGAATTTCTGTGAACTTGAGACGAGCTCCAGGAGAGTAGAGTTCTGAAATAAGGCTTGAGCTAATTGGGGCAGCTCTTGCCGAAGTCCCTTCTTCTGCACTTGGGATCTGTCTTGGGCATCAGATTCGCCTTGCTCTGAATCCTCCCCTAGATCATCTTGTCCACAGATCACCTGAAGAGAACAATGGGAGAGAATGAGAGGTAGATTCCTTCTCCTTCTACCCATTCTTACTCTCCACTGCCTTTCTACTTCTCTAGAGATGTCATCACTTGTCCCATCTTTTCCTCTCTCTCACCCTTTTCCTTTCCGCTTGTACACCTTTCTTTTCTCTCAATCTTCTCTTCATGCTTGGAATCACCTTCCACAAAACCCATTCTCTCTCTCACTCGCTCCTTCCCCTATCATCCTCCTTTCATTCTGCACTGAACTACTGGTTTTCCCTAGGGGGAGACTGGGAGTTCCTATGCCTTCATTAGTAGTGCAGTCCAGTCCTTGCACCTTTTGGAAATGTCAGGTGAACTGCCTGGGGTAGAGCAACTCCTACCGCAGAGACCTCTGTTCAAAGGTCAAGAAAGTGGGGAAGCAGAAGGAAGAAGGGGATTGTAGGGGTCAACTGGAAGTATCTCTAATGACTGAACATAAGCTGCAATAAAAATACTAGCCTCAGGGCCTTGCCCCCTGTGGCTACCCCCATGCTGAGGGGTGGCCTAACATTACTGACTGACCAGCCCCTACCTACTCACTTTTCTAGGCTGGAGCCACTATGGTAGGGCACAGGGATAGGTGGAAGCAGGGACAGCTGTGCCAAGTGATGGCAGAAGCAAATGCCCAGCCCTTGCACAGCAAGACCCATACCTCTGCCAGGGCTGGCGCCCCTTGCCTCCCCGTCTGCTGCGAGATCTGCCTGCAGTTCTGAGAGCGAGTCCCTGTGGCCCCCTGGCACTGGGGGCATGGGCACTAGTTCGCACCTGCCTTGGGGACTATGTGGCACAGGGGTGAAAGGGTGGGCAAGGGCTGTGCGGCCAGGGGGGGCACAGCGCGTTCGGGGCACAGCGCGCTCAGAGAACGGTGGGAGAGGGTCGAGGCAGGGACTGCGGATGCGGGTCCCCTCACCGTGGGGTGGGGAGGAAGCAGGATTTCGTGGTGATTTCGGACCTTCTCCGTTTGCTCGGCTTTAAAGGCTCGCTGGGCACAGGGGGATCCCGGCCAAGGTCAGCTCAGCCGCAGCCCTCCCGGATCCCCTCCCTTCTCGGCTTGCTCCGGCCAGGGGCCACCTCCCGCGGCCGCCTGCAGCTGGGGGGAGCCGGGGGGCATTTGCCGGGCGATCGGAGCGGGGGAGAGGAGTCCTCTAAAGCCCCAAGACTTGAGCGGGAGCTGTGTCCTCCTCCCTCCTTCCCTGCCACCACACAGCTGCAACATCCCAGAAGTTTGGGGCGGCTCTTTATTTACTGGGGGGAGGGAGGGCACGATTCTTAAGGGATCATCGGTGCACTTTAAAGCAGCCGCCCTCCTCGCGCCTCCCCAGCCCGCCGGGCCAGGGCTCGGGCCCGCCGGTCACTCACCAGCAGATGGATGCTTCCCTGGATGAGGAAGACGAAGCAGCACCGAGTCAGCTGCATCTTCAGCCGGTGCCTGTCTTCCTTCCCCCTCGGTGCCTGCAATGGGGGGGAGGGAGGGCTGGGGAAAGGGGCTCGGTCCTCTTATAATCTGGGCTCCCGGCTCCTACGACCCCCCCATCCCCGGATCCGCCTGGCAACTCCCATCCAGATGTGCGGCTGGCCGGCTGCACCCGCCCCTTCCCCGGCTTTCACCTGCTGCTGCCGCGGGCTTGCTCCCTCCGCGTCCCTTTGGAGGAGACTCGAGGAAACTCTCTGCCCCTGTCCCTTCCCCTCGCCCCGTTAGCTCCCTCCCCCTGGCAGGTACCGTGATCTGAGCAGCACCTCCAGGCTTAACCCTCTCCTGCCTTGCAGGGCTGTCCCCACCACCAGCCTGGCCCGGGGAGCAGGGCTTTGGGCGCTCGGGGAGGTCTCTGCGGAGAAAGCTTCCCAGATGTGATGGGAGAGCAGAGACTCATCAGTGCCTCACACTTCTGGAGGACGGTAGGGGTCAGCGGGAAGGAGAATCAGGGAAAGTCTCAGTGCACAGGAGCAAAAGATCACCTTCCTCCAGCTGGCAAGGGAGAAGGAGTGGCAAGGGGAGAGGACCCTCATTTGGGGAGGGCAAACCCCACCTGGCTGGTTTTTATCAGGACCTACAGCCAGCATGATCCTATTTTTTGTAGTGCCTTTTTTTTTTCTCCACCCTACATAGCCTTTACAAGGCACCAGCCTGAGAAACTTCTGTCTCCTGGGCTCTTTTGCCTCCTGGGTTTTGCTTATGCAGAGTAAGCATTTCATTTCTCCAGACCCTGCTTTATTTTGATGTTACATTAACCCAGAATTAAAAGTAGCTACTTAATACTGTATACAGCCTATCCATGTTTTGGGGTTTTTTTTTAAGAAACAGATCTCCTTAATTGCTCTTGGTCAACAAAGAGATGATTATGAGAGTTAGATAAGCTAGTTCCTTGACTGTTATTTGTTGGAGTACCTCAGATCACTATGGTAGAGGCTGGTATCGTTATCTCCATTTTGCAGATAGAGAAGCAGAGAGTAGTGAAGTAACTTGCCGGTATAGGTCAGTGGCAGAACTCGTGTCCTGAGTGCTCTATCCACGAGACTGCTCTGCATCCCTAAGACACTGCCAAAGATCAATAATCCCACTGGAGTTGTCTCCTTTTTTTTGTACTCTCATTAATTTCCAAGTGCTCATGAATCAGGTAAAAAAGTCAGACCTTGCAGTCCTGTAGTTTAGCAAACTACTGTACAGATCAGGGAAAGTCACAAATTCCAGACACCGAGCACTAATGAAGAACACCTTGCAAACAGCCCCATCATCCTAACAAAGGGACTCTAACCACATCTGTGCCTTTGACCACATCTGTGTGGTCTGATACGAGCACAGAAGCAGTCTCTCTAATAGGTAGGTCCTTGGCTGCTTGGGTTGGTATGAAACCTAAACGATAAAGATGTGAAGTGTTTGGCTGATGCTGAGAGGCCGCTCCCGCTGTAGCATGCACTTGTATAACTTTGTGGGGGTTTTCTAAAATGAAAATAAGGAAAATGCTCTTCCCTCTTGCTGCCTAGGAAGTTGCATTGGGGATTTAATTTCCCTGTTGCCAGTGTTTATTATAGTGACAACTTGTCATAGCAGTTTTGTCCCTGGTGTTACACCTTTGTGCCATTTGTATGCACTAAACATTGGGATCTATTTGGAGAGAAAAGGGAGGGAGGTCTCCAAAGGAGGGGGAAGATTTGTGAGAAAGGAGTCAAGCAGATAGAACAAGGATGAGTCTCAGGCTGGGTGGAAGCTTATGTGTGGCTAAAGCTGCAGAACATTCATCCAAGAAAAAAGTGGAAGTGCCAGTCCTTGGGCTGTTTAAAACCAAACTCAACACAACTGGGGGAAATAGAAGGCAGGAAATGATTTTGTCACAGCCCTGGAAGAGTAGACTGGATACCCTAATGGTCTGCATGTCTCTACATACCATGATTCTTGAAAAAGAGCTGAACAGAATTTCTGAATGTTTGCATCCTGCATTTTACATTGCTGCAAGATCCCATATCTCCTGCATAGCCTTTCAGATTAATCTACCCATTAAAACTCAAGGGAAAGTACGAGTCTGGCATTCTGTTTCTTCATCTGACCTCTTTGGTTTGTTAGTTCTGGACTGTTAATGTCCTTGAGAAAAGAGACTGGCTTCAGCTGTGAGCTGAGGCGAAGCTGAATTCAATACCAAGAATTCAAGGCCAAGAATAGGAGGACTCAGATAAAAGTGGCTTCCAGCCACCTTTGGGGCTTCATAGAGATTTTGTAGGAAGCTGGAGTGGCAAAAACAGAGCAAGTCTAGGAGTGTTCCAAGTTAGCTGTAGCTCCCTACGGAGCTACCCTGCCTTCCAGTATGGCCTATGTCTTGGCATGCCGCCATTCTACCCTGATCCAACCCTTGCCTGTTTTAGCTGTGCTATTGGACCTGAACCTACGTGAGGGTGGGGGCTGCAAAGGAGAGCAGCTTGGAGCCTTCCGCCAGCAAATCTCCCTGAATGCAGAGAATGTACTTTGAAGGTCCCAGTTAAGCGCTGAGTCACCATACTGGGGCCATGCTGGAAGCTGGAAATCAATCTGAGCTTGCTCATATCTCTGTGCAGTATTGAGCAAGCAACTGGAGCTTGATCAATTAAAAATAGAATCCTGGAGGGTAATATTCTGTGCCAGCTGACTTGGACAGAAGCCCTTTGAACACTGGCAAATATGCTCCCAGAGTTGTAAAATTTAATTGGATTGGATGTGAGTAGAGCAGTAACAAAAATACCAGTCACCACTTTTAGCAAATCTAACTAACCTTTCCACCTGCTGCTCTTTCCCCTGTAAGATTCCCAGGAGTGACAATGCAGAAGGCTTTGGAAAGGTCCCCTGGTGAATAGGAAGAGCTGGTGCAATGTTACATCACGAATCATTTCACCTGTTGTGTTTGGAGAGCTGCAGCACGGCGGCCTTAAGCTTCACAGAAATGATGGTCGCGCAGATCACGATTAATTGGTGCTATAGCGTTTGCTTCAACCTGTTTATCTGATTCAGATCTGCAGCACCACCTGCTGAGTGGTCCAGAGATTTTCTGGGATTAATTCTGCTTGATTCCTCTAGTGATTAGTAATTCTGGGTGCAAATTTTCTTGTCTGGTTTCTACAGAAAGATAATTCTTCCCTTTTCCTCCTGGATGCATTTAGCCTCATAGGGCCTTTATCTCCATCACAGAAGATATGTTCAGGATGGATACAACTGTAGAAGCTAAAGATGGAGAATCTGTGTTACAATGGGCAGCACGATCTATGGTTGGGATGTTGGACTGGAACTTGGGAGCTCTGGGTTCTCTTCTAAAGCTCTGCTATTGACTTTTGGTGTGGCCTTGGGTAAGTCGCTTCTAATCTGTGTATCTCTTTCTCCTTCTGCCATTTGCCTGGCATGTCTATTTTGCCTGGTTCTCTCTTCAGGGCATGAAATATCATTTATGTGTTTGTACAGTGCCAAGGTGTACAGTCCCAAATGCTGTTGGAACTAATATAAATCATCATCATCACCGTTACCACCCAGTCCATGTCACTGGGGACAGTGCATGTTCACAGTGCTGCGTTGCTAGTATTTTGGTAGAAGGCACCTTATAGACTAATGAAAACAGAGCTGTATAGCATATGCTTTTGTAAGTCCACTGCTTATGAAAATGTATGCTATATGTCTCTAATTTAGTTAGTTTATAAGGTGCAATTTAGTTAGTCTATAAGGTTAGTTAGTGTATAAGGTCTGTAAGGTACTCTACTTTCTCCCTGACTTCAGACTAATATGGCTAACTACCTCTCTCTAGTATTTTGGGCACTCTGCCTTTACATGTCCCAAGTGACTGGATCTTTCTAATGGGATATTGTTGTGTCATGTAGACTACCTTCTCTTAAGGCCTGGGCTGTTGGACAGTGGCCAAATGATTAATGTTGATTTGATTTAAAATAGGAAGAACTTCAGGTTTTCCTGTTGTCTGCTGGAAATGCCACTTTTTCATAGACAACACATATTTTTTCCACCAAAACCAGCTGCTGAAAGTGTTAATGTGCGTTATATATGAGAAATATGGTAAGAACAATTTCTGTCAATTGGGAGCAAAAGTAAAACCTGCACTGCACTTGCAGAAAGCAGAACAGTGAGCAACTGCACATGTTATATTCTGTGCCATGTTGTACGTGAGAAAATATGGTCCTTCTTTGCTGTTGCAGCATCATGGTTATGCTTAGTGACCAGGAAGGGGTCATAGCAACAGCACAAGTTCTGGGGAACAAATGAGGACTTAAGAGGTATTGTGGCAGACAACAGTGGCAGGTTGATGACAATATTTCAGTCATCAGCTGTTAAAAAAGGGTTTTTTATTGTTGTGTTGACTGTTGCAGAGTCCTCCAGCTGTGGGTTTTCTTTTCTGGGTTTTTACTGCCCTCTAGTGGATACATTTTGCTGGGAAATTTGAACTCTGATTATGTGTTGTAAGAGACTGGTCATCACCTTAGCCCTCATGAAGAATAGACAGGAAAATTAGCCTGTTTATAGACAAAGACAACCTGCAAGCCTCTGTTGGAGTTTTAAATAAAAAAAAGAGAAATGAATCCAAAGACTGATGCTCTTCTTCAGTTTTACTTTATGATTCATAGCTTTTAATTTAGGAAATATTTGTAATGAGGTAGTATGAATCCTAGCAACGTTTAAAAAAATGCAGGGATATCAGAAAAAAAAGTTGGTAAAATGAATTGTAACTAGGAAATATGCATCTGCTCTGTTTAAGGAAAGAATCTAAATTGCAAGCATGTGATAAGAGAGAGAACGGTTATGATGTTGAAAACAACTTGGGGACAAGAGTAGAGAGGAAATTGGACGTGATTTTTCAATTAGTTATGGCAGTTTCCTCTCTTTTTATCCTCTGTGGAATATTAATAATATAAGGAAACCACAGATGCAGTTGGCTTCCAAATATCCATGGTTATTTAACTCTATATGAACATGTATGGCCTACCTAGCTACATATGCACCCTGCTTTTAGAATGTGGTGGTTTCTGTGGTAGGAGATACTGGAGGGCACCTATAGATGGCCTTCCATCAGGATAGCTGAAGCAAAGTATTATACTGTGCAAGAGACCAGTGTGAGTTTGGCTTGCATACATGGAGGAATAATTAGTAGTAAGTTCTCTGTTTATTTAATACTGCAGCAACCACATGTAAAATATAGTCATCAGTCCAGGCAACTTAAATACTATGGTCATAAAGATAAGACTGAGAAAGTTCAGCATAAGGCAACAAGATGACTCTTCGGTTGGAAGGGCTAATTCATTAGAGGCATAAAACCATAGAAAATGGGACTAGGAGAGCCCTTGAGAGACCATTAATCCATTCCCTTGTCCTAAAGGGGAATTAACTCTCCTGAAACCATCCCTGGCAGATGTTTTGCCTGACCTGCTCTTAAAGGCCACCAGTGACAGAATTTTCTAGTATCTCTCTATGAAGGGAAGACTAAAAGAGTTAAATAACTATGGGAAGGGATGACGGGGTTAGGCCCTGAGGCTTTACAGCATTGATAATGTAGAGGAAAGAGGAGAGTCATTTAGGGTAGGGGTTCAAAGGGAAGCAGTAGCATTGCCTAGCTCTTGCGTAGCCCTTTTTTCCTTCCATGGACCTCAAAGTGCGTTCCCAAGGACTGTGGCACTTAACCATTTGAGTCTGTGGGCCAGATGAGTGGCACAGAGCTGGTCTGAGGGCTGGATTGGGCTCCACGTGCCAGGATTGAGCCCCGCACCATCGCTGCATGCCAGGATTAGGCCTTGGGGCCCTGCACTGCCTCAACTGGCCCCACATGCTGGGATTGGGGCCTGAAG